ATTCTCTTAGTTTAATATTCATGATTATAACTTTATTTTATAATTTCATTTTATTTTGTTTTTGTTTTATATTGATACAATACTTGTAAGTATTGGCACTAGAAAATCTTTAGAATAATTGTAATCCCCTTTACCTTTATAAATAATTTAGTCTTCATTCTTAAACTTATTATAAACTATATTTGTGATAAAACCTATCTTTCAAAGTATAGTTTGTAATAATAAGCTTATAAAAGTAATATAATATTTTTATCTGGTTGAGATTTAAATTATTCAAGATTTTGATATGATATAAATATATTATTATTATACTAATTTTGCTTAGAAAAAATAATTCTAATCATATTTTTTATAATCTTCAAAATTAAATTAACTAGTTTATATAATAATATATTTTTATTTTATTTATTTATGAATATAATTTTAGAAAAGTATTTAAAGATAATTAATATTATTTATTTTTTATTTATTATTATTAATATAAAAATTTAATTTATATAAGAACTAAAAATAAGAAATTAATGAATTTTGCAAAAAAAATATTTATATATAATTATTTTATTATATAAAATTGAGTTTAATTAGATTAATATATGTAATTTTAATATTATATAAATAAAAAATCTTTTAAATCAAGATAGAATATTAATATACTAAATCATAATAATTATAATAAGTTTTTATTTAATTTTTATTATTAAATCTAAAATATTAAGTTCTAAAAAATTTATATATAGTAATTATTAAAAATAATGTAATACTTAAATTCTTTACTAATTATAATTAGAAATTTAAGTATTATATTACTTTTAATAGTTACTATATAAAATTATTTATAATTAAAATTATAATATATTGTAATAATTATAAATATTAAAAATTTTTTTATTATATTATTATTATAATAATATAAAATTTCTTAATTTTATAAACTTTTCTTGATTATATGAAATTATATATTTCTATAATTTTTATTTATTTCATAAATATCTCTATTTTTATATCATATTTATTTTTATTATTATATTTATTATTATATTTCTATTTTCAGATATTATATCTTATATTTATTTAAGATTTATATTTTTGTAATATAATATTCATGTATATAGTAAAATAATATAGTAAAAAATTATTTTTAATTTTGATAGAACTGTTATATTTGAAATATTGATCATAAATATTTTTTCATATTCTTAAATATCTTTTTATATTCTTAAATATCTTTTCATAATCTTAAATATCTTTCTATATTTTTTAACTTTTTTTAATATTCTTTAATATCTTTTAATATTTTTTCACATCTTTTAACTTTTTTTTGATATTCTTTAATATAATATATCTCTAAAATAATCTATAATACTTTAATTATAATATATATATTTAGTTAGTATTAGTTAGTAATACTATAATAATTTATATATTTGAAAAATATATAAAAGAATCTGCTATCCAGCTTGAAATAAATAGTTTTGGATTAAATTGTTTGAAAAATATAATTAAAAAGCTTATTATTATAATAATAGTAATATTTTTATAAGATTTTTTTTCTAATTATACTAGTATTCTTTTTTTTACTTGGTTTTATTTCTTTGACTATATAAAGTTGATTTTGATTTTTAGATTATAATATTATATTGATTTTTAATTTTTGATATTATTTTGAAAGTAAAAGATCTCTATTATAAATAAACTATACTTTTTGTTTTATTTGTTTTATTATTTTGAGAGTAAAAGATCTTTATTATAAATAAGTTATATCTTATTTTTGTTTAATTATTTAGTTTACATATTTTAGTTTTTATCTTTTATTTAGTCATAATCTTCTTTAATTAATAGTAGTTTTACTATTTAATCATCTTAAATCTTGAATTATATCAATTACTAGTAGCTTCACTAAATTAATCTTTATAATTTCTTTGATTTATTTATTTATTATTTTATTCTTTATAAAGATAATATTTGTAAATATTGATACAGATTTTAGAAATCTTTATTATTATTAAAAGTATAATCTAATTCTTCTTTCTTTATTTTTTAATTATTTCAGTTTCTTCCAACTTTATATTATTTAAGTGAAAACTCACTTACTAATTTATTATAACAATATGATTTATAATAAAAATAATAAAAATTTATAATAAATTAAAAACTTTTTTTAAATATATTATTTATTATAAAATAATTAATAAAATTATACTTATATAATTATAAAATTAAAAAATTTATTTTTAATAAAAATAAATTCTTCATAATAAAATTAATAAATTTTATTAAATATAATTTTTATTTTTAAGAATTAAAATATAAATATAAAAATATTTTATTAATAAATTATAAACTTAATATAAAAAAAATTAATATTTAATTTATAATTATAAATTCTATATTTAATATTTATAATATTAAAAAATAAATAAGTTTATTTTTATATAATCTAAAATAATAAATAAAAATTTTTAATTTTAATTAAAAATTTATAAAAAATAATTATTATTAAATAATTAATAAAAAAATAAAATTATTAATAAAATATAATAAGAATTAAAATATTTTTTTTATATTAATCTTATAATTTTATTAATAAATATTTTTTATTTTTATATTAAATTAAAATTTAAAATTTTAATATATATTTTTTAATTTTTTAAATTTTTTTTAAAAAAGTTATTTTGATTAAAATTATTATAAAAATTTTTACTAATTAAATTTTATTTTTAATTAAAAAAATTTTGTAATCATTTTATAATTAGAATAAGTTTTTTAGAAAAAAATTAAAAATTATATATTTAATTATAAATTATAAACTTTTATTAATATAAAAATAAAAATTATTTATTAATAAAATTATAAAGTTTAATATAAAAAATATTTAAGTTTTATTATATTTTATTAATAAATTTAATCTTTATATATTATTTTTGATTGATATTATATTAATAAAAAATTAATTTTTATTCTTTTAATAATTAATATATTTTAATATATTAATATTATTTATATAAATTAAATTTTTATTTTAAAAATTAATTATATTTTTAAAATATTCTATTTTTAATATAAAAAAATATTTTATAATAATAAACTTTCTTATAATAAATTAGATTTTTTATAAATAAATATAACTTTTTTATTGCAAAATATATATAAAAATAATTAGTTTTTTAATTAAATATAATTTTTAAAGATATTCTAATAAAAAATTATCTTTAGAATATTTCTAAATAAAATATTATACTTAAAAAATTAATATATAATATACTTATTTTTTAATATATATATAATTCTTTAAATAATAAGTAAAAACTTGTTAATTTAGTAAAACTTTATATAATTATAAGTTAAATTAATACTTTTTATAATTAATTTATATTAAATTATCAAAAGTTTTCCAATTATAATATAATTTGAAATAAAGATTTATATATTTTTTCATATTAGATTTTTTAAAAAAAGATAAATTTTAGAATAAAATTTTTCTCTATAATAAGTTGCTTATATTTGAAAGCTAATAGTTTATCTAATTATAATTTTTATTTATAATTATTTTTATATAAGATAGATTAGAATATTATAATATAGTTAAAGTTTGTTATTAGAAAAACTTTTTATAAATAATATCAAAATTAATATATTTATTATAACTAAAAAATAAATTTATTTCTGAATAAATTTAATAAAAAAGTAATATTATAAATATATTTTAAAAATATATAATTCTAATTAATAATTAGCAAAATATTGCTCTTTAAAATTATATATCAAAATTTTAACATTTTTATCAAAGTTATGATATAGAAAATCTTTAACTTACTAATAAATTACATATTATTTAAAGATTATTAAAGTCTTTAATATATCAAATTTTAAAAAAATAAACTAATAATAATCTTGATTAAGATATATACTATTAAACTATCAGTCAGAATTTTAATTTAAGTTTTAAATAAAAAGTTATAAGCATTTTAAATTGGATACTTATTATATATTTTGATCAGAATTGAAATATATCATATGATTTTTTTATCACATGAAACATATTTTACTGGTCAATTACAATAATATACTACATGTAAATTATTTTTATTGACTCAGTGTTAGATCTAAACCTCTAAAAAATTAATTATGTCTAAATATTCACTTATTTTATGCAAACTTTTAAGAGTTATTGATTGCATTATATAATATGTTACATATCATTGCTTAATTCCTGCTATATTATTGACTGCGTTATATAATATGCTATATTACATTGCATACGCAAAATTGAAACAAATTCACATGATTGGCGAGTTAAGATTTCCCGAATCATATAATAAACGGAGAACGATATCTCGATACGAGGTATTTGCACGTGATTACAATCGGTAGATATCGTATCACCAGATCTTCGCCAATTTTGCGCACGGTGATTTTCAAGGGCACAAAAATACCACCATTCGATTCGCCTAGACATGACGAATGTATTTTCGTGCGATCCCGACATAAATACATGCCCTGTTTATGCTAAAACTCACCAAATTAAATTTACCAATGTTTTGATTGTTATTAACTCCACTCCATATACAATGTACATATACATGTATTTCATTACAGTCATTTACACATAATGCATGAATAATTTATCAATATATTGTCATAGAAAACATTTTTATTGTTCAAGTTACTGTATGTAATTCATATACTAGAGAAATGTCTTATTTTTACAAAAGCTAAAGTCGTACATTACACTATATTAAATTTCTATTTATGCATAAGTAAATTTACACGGAATTTAGAATAACTTTTAAACTTAAAAGAATTTATGTAACATAAAAAAAGAAAGCTTATACATGTAATTACAGAAATGCAAGTATCATAATTTTTTGTTAATCCCTTTAACTGTAAATTTTTTCGACAATCACTAAAAAATTTAATTCCATACCAGATATCCCTTTTTTAACTGTAAATTTTTTCGGTAATCACTCTAAAAAATTTAATCCCATATCTCCTTTTTTAACTTAAACTTTTTCGGCAATCACTCTAAAAAATTTAAAATAGGCTCGCCTTTCGTGTGCCTCTCGCATAAAATCCACCGTGATTTTCTCCGCATCTGATTCTTTTAGTACACCCAACTCAATTCCACTATTGATTCCTACCTGCGCAAACATTTTACATGCGATATCACCCATTCCATTTCCGAATACATTGAGATTAGGAACAGTTAATTCCTGTTCTTTTTTCTGAACTTTTTGAACCTTTCCGGTATTTTGTAAAAAGAATTCTAGGTGATTTCCTACAAAGGCACTAAAATTTCTCTTTTTTAGCTGTTGAGCAACTATATACAATAAAAATTAAACATTAATAACGGAAAAAGATAGACACATGAAAAGAGTCATGAATGACTTACAATATGTATTTAATATTGTCCCTAATTGACCTTTTGTGTATAGGTGTGCATCACAATCACTTAATTCAAACCAACCACCTGGTTTCAGGACTCGTACACATTCTGGCAAAATAGTTTCAATTAACTG